CATTTGTGTGGCAGCGGGATGGGCTTCCCCTTCCACCTTTGTCAGATTTTACAATCTGGAAGTTCCCGCCTTGCAGGCTAAACTACTAGCAGTCTAGTATGTTACAGCTCTTCTGGTTGAGCTGCACTGTAGAGAGTTATTCACACAGACCGGTTTTGCTCTGTCCCTCTCTATCATGTGCTTATGTACTACACAATCTCCGGCCCGCTCTGCTGGCCTTTGTCACAGGTACATATATTTATTCCCACTCATAAGGGTTCCCTGGGGTCTCCCCTGGGACTCATAGTGGATGCTTAGCACGCACGGCGTTGACCAGGTGTTCCCGTAGCGTAAGCTAGCTTACGCAATACGAGAGGACCTCTCGTAAGCGAACGAATCGGTTACCTAACGTAACCTCGGTTCTCTCTAGATGAGGGAACGAGTATTACGTTCCTGGCCGTGCTTGTGCTTCTAGCGTTCTTGCTTCATTCTATGAAAACCAGAGTTTACAGCCTAGGACGCCAGTTTTATACTCTCTGACCACGCCCGTTTCGGCGGGCTCTGACACAATGAGAGCAGGTCAGACTCTCATTGGCCGCGAGTTCATTCGCGTCTCCTCATAGGCTTAAGCAGTTCTCTGTGAGCGAACCAATGAGCTGCTAGCTAGCCCGCTCATGGTCTGCTGCAGCTGAACTGCGTTGACAATGGATACAAAATTATAGGATAATTTTTTGGCTTAAAATTCTCAGAAAAGATGAATCTTTCCCGTAGCGTAAGCTAGCTTACACAATACTCGTTCCCTCATCTAGAGAGAACAGAGGTTACGTTAGGTAACCGATTCGTTTTAAGGAATGGTTATGGGTAGGTTTAGGGGTATGAGTAGGATTAGTGGCTCAAAATATATTTTAATGCTATTGTTAATAAAACTATGAGAGGTTTGGGTTTGCTGAGATGGTCTCTGTTATGACCGTTTTACACTTTATATTAAGTGGACAGTTCCTGAGGAGTTACCATGTAAGTAAGTTACACTGTTAATACAGTGTTGCACAGAGGTTTGGGTTTTGCATAATACACAGTAAGTTGTGACCATTTTACACTTTATATTAAGTGGACAGTTCCTGAGGAGTTACCATGTTAGTACAGTTGCACAGAGGTTTGGGTTTTGCATAATACACAGTAAGTTATGACCATTTTACACTTTATATTAAGTGGACAGTTCCTGAGGAGTTACCATGTAAGTACACAGTTAGTACAGTTGCACAGAGGTTTGGGTTTTGCATAATACATGTAAGTTATGACAGTTTAACACATTGTATCAAGTGCAGAGTTCCTGAGGAGTTACCATGTAAGTACACTGGTACCACAAGGGAAAACTTTAGCTGTAATTCAACATAAGTCCTGCCGGTCATATAGTAAATACATGGTATACACATAGGAATCATCATGGTTTCAGTGTGTTCTTAACTGGTAACTACAGTATGGAAGACTGCGTGTGGAAGTGGAACAACTTGTGTGAATATATTGTTGTTACAAAATGTAGTTACATAATGCCTGTTACACATGTGTACTTACTGTAGTGGAAAAAGTGTTGTTACCAATGTCCTGTTACACATTTGTACTTACACATACCTTTCCGTGGGTTGTTACATATGTGTGGTTACACAAATATTACAGTTGTAAATACTATGTACCAATGTGTATTTACACTGTAGTTACATACTAAGTACATATCTAGTAACCATGTAAGTTCACAGGTATTAGGGCCACTTAATATAAAGTGGGACCGTGCTTTGGGAATACTTCTTTGTTTGTAATGCTCTCATTCATTATTGAAGTTTTGAACTTTAAACTTCAAAATATAGGTTTTACAGAGTCTCCCTTCAATGAAAACTGAATTGCAAAGCAGTGTATAAGTGAAGAATATTCCAATAATAGTCCAGTATTCTCTGTAATAGTAATAATATTAATAATAATATTTTTGTGTAAATGAATACAACAGAATTGTTCCTGCTCCATCTGCTCCTAACGTCACATCCACACTATAATAGAGGTATAATACTGCTGAGTGCAATACAACTTGGTACGTGATACTTCAGTTCAGCTGGTGTAGTACCATGAGAGAAAAAAGCTACCATGACAACAAAAGAGACATTGTGACAAGTTACCCTAGGATCTGTATCTATGAATCTATCTGTGGTATCTACACTCACCTAAAGGATTATTAGGAACACCTGTTCAATTTCTCATTAATGCAATTATCTAATCAACCAATCACATGGCAGTTTAGGGGTGTGGGTCCTGGTCAAGACAATCTCCTGAACTCCAAACTGAATGTCAGAATGGGAAAGAAAGGTGATTTAAGCAATTTTGAGCGTGGCATGGTTGTTGGTGCCAGACGGGCCGGTCTGAGTATTTCACAATCTGCTCAGTTACTGGGATTTTCACGCACAACCATTTCTAGGGTTTACAAAGAATGGTGTGAAAAGAGAAAAACATCCAGTATGCGGCAGTCCTGTGGGCGAAAATGCCTTGTTGATGCTAGAGGTCAGAGGAGAATGGGCCGACTGATTCAAGCTGATAGAAGAGCAACTTTGACTGAAATAACAACTCGTTACAACCGAGGTATGCAGCAAAGCATTTGTGAAGCCACAACATGCACAACCTTGAGGCGGATGGGCTACAACAGCAGAAGACCCCACCGGGTACCACTCATCTCCACTACAAATAGGAAAAAGAGGCTACAATTTGCAAGAGCTCACCAAAATTGGACAGTTGAAGACTGGAAAAATGCTGCCTGGTCTGATGAGTCTCGATTTCTGTTGAGACATTCAGATGGTAGAGTCAGATTTTGGTGTAAACAGAATAAGAACATGGATCCATCCTGCCTTGTTACCACTGTGCAGGCTGGTGGTGGTGGTGGTGTAATGGTGTGGGGGATGTTTTCTTGGCACACTTTAGGCCCCTTAGTGCCAATTGGGCATCGTTTAAATGCCACGGCCTACCTGAGCATTGTTTCTGACTATGTCCATCCCTTTATGGCCACCACGTACTAGGGGTGGCACGGTACATGAAAAAACATCCGAACCGTTCGGTTCGCTTGTCTCGGTTCGGAGCGTGTGTGTGTCTCACGGTTCGACGCATGCGCAATGTAGCCTCGTGCCCGTATGTGACCTCAGACGTGTTTCCTTTTAGCGCGAAATAAGACGTGTGTGGACATACATACGAGACTTGTTCGAGTTGAACCGGTGCTGCACAGAGCGATCGGTGAATGACATCAAAGTACCGCGAGCGCGACGGCTCCGTATGCTTTTCAATCACTCTCGCGGTTCTTTGATGTCATTCACCGATCGCTCTGTGCAGGTCACGTCACGCGGAGAAGTGGCAAGTGGGAGAAATACGGAAGGCTAACCGGAGTAGGAGGATGCGCCAGTGTCGTATTAAGTCCGGTGTGTGGGAACATTTTGGATTTCTTGTTATGATATTTAAATATATAACAGCTACAGTGGCACTTTAAGTTTAGATAAGAACTCCAGTCATATGTTTCCAAATACTGCACTTTAATTTCAAGTGAAAAAAATGTATCCTCACTCTCAGGGAATAGAAGCATTGTTGATACTGTTTTTGAGGTTGAACTTATGTTTCACTTTATGATTATGGCCTTTGCTATTGCTATAGCCTAATTATAGGCAATTATGTTTAATGTATTTTGACTTATTTAAAAGACAGAGTTTTAAGAGTTCCTCTCTTTTTCTTTTAAAAGATAAATTTTTTGTAAGAGCTTAGCTACACTTAAGTTGGCAGTTTGATAAATGCAAGTTAATTTCAATCTTTGTGTGCTAAAAATGCACATAAGTTCCTGTAGAGATAGTGATACACATTCTACTTTTTTTGCCAAATAAACGAAAAGCATGTCATCAATGTCTTCTCTCTTGCTGTATCAAAATCTCACCTAGCTTTCCTCGGAGATGGTCCCAATAATGTGTTTAAAGTCAAGTCAAATTCAGTTTGTGTATGATTGCATCATATAACATTTTTGTTAATACTGTATCCTAAATTGTGGATAATTAAGCTATATATCATATGCTGAAGTACATTTCTGGAGTGTTAAAGATTAAAAGAAAAAATAACAACAAGAACCGTACAGAACCGAGAACCGTGACCCTAAAACCGTGATACAAACCGAACCGTGGGTTTTGTGAACCGTGCCACCCCTACCATGTACCCATCCTCTGATGGCTATTTCCAGCAGGATAATGCACCATGTCACAAAGCTCGAATCATTTCAAATTGGTTTCTTGAACATGACAATGAGTTCACTGTACTAAAATGGCCCCCACAGTCACCAGATCTCAACCCAATAGAGCATCTTTGGGATGTGGTGGAACGGGAGCTTCTCGCCCTGGATGTGCATCCCACAAATCTCCATCAACTGCAAGATGCTATCCTATCAATATGGGCCAACATTTCTAAAGAATGCTTTCAGCACCTTGTTGAATCAATGCCACGTAGAATTAAGGCAGTTCTGAAGGCGAAAGGGGGTCAAACACAGTATTAATATGGTGTTCCTAATAATCCTTTATGTGAGTGTATATGTGAATTTACATGTGTAGAAACTGCTTTTAGTTATTTAAACTGCTTTTAGTTGATTTACGGTTGAATGGTTCTTCCACAATGTAAACTCATAACTGACATGAATACAGAATAATCAAATGTTATGAACTTTTTGAAATTGTACACTACTTTTACATAATTAAAAATATATTGGTCAACATACAGTACGTACTGTGCAGTAAGCATGACATTACCATGTTATTCTGGACATGGTCTGTCTTATATTTTAGTCTTTGTCTTTATTTCTTTGAGCTACAGTTTGTGTAAATGGCACTTAACTATGTTTGTTAGTTAGTCAGCTTTATTGTCGATTCTTCACATGCTCCAGACATACAAGTCTGTTTGTTAATAGTCTGACATACATGTTTGTTAACTCTGTGTATGTCTGTCCCTGTGGTGTTTTTTGGCAGGGTGGTGAAGGAAGAGATATCAGACGACTCTGCAAAACTTCCCTGCTTTAATGGAAGAGTGGTTTCTTGGGTAGGAGATGGCTCTTTGCACATTCACTACACGCACAACCTGCTACTGTACTATTATATTATTTTGTTATATTCACTTAAAATGTTTAAACATTCTAAACCAGGGTTATAGATTGTATCTATCGGCACAAAATGACATAAATGTGAAGTGAAGTTATGCTAGTCACAATGTGTAAATCACGTGATGAAATAATGAAACAAAGTACATATTTCAAGGCCAGTAAATTTTCACAATGCACCTGTCATTACATTGCATAAGAATGGTTCCCTTTCAAAAGCTACATTCAATGCTACGCTGAAGCGTTTTGAGAATACTTCTTGTATGACCAGCTGTGAATACTTGATACCAATCTTTCATTTGAAAGTCACGTTTCTAGTATCTGTAAAACCACATTCTTCCATCTTAAAAATATATCTAAATTACGTCATATGCTCTCAATGACAAATGCGGAACAATTAGTTCATGCGTTCATGACATCAAGGCTAGATTATTGTAATGCTCTTATGGGTGGTTGCCCTGCACGCTTAATAAATATACTACAGCTGGTCCAAAACGCAACAGCTCGAGTTCTTATTAGAACCAGGAAGTATGACCATATTAGCCCGGTTCTATCAACACTGCATTGGCTTCCTATTAAACATCGTATACATTTTTAAATATTGCTGATTACTTATAAAGCACTAAATGATTTAGCTCCCCTGTACTTGAGCGAACTCTTAACGCATTATAGTCCTTCACGTCTATTGCGATCTCAAAATTCCGGCCAGTTGATAATACCTAGAATATCAAAATCGACTGCTGGCGGTAGATCCTTTTCCTATTTAGCACCAAAAGTCTTCCTAACATTGTCCGGGAAGCAGACACACTCTGTCAGTTTAAATCTAGACTAAAAACACATCTCTTTGGCCTAGCAGCATACACATAACACATTATAAACTTCTATAATTCAGTGTTAGGCTGCATAGATTAGGTCAGCCGGAACCGGGAACACTCCCCATAAATCCTGATGTACTCGTTACATCATAAGAAGAATGGCGTCTACGCTAATATTAGTCTCTCTGTTTATCCAGAGGTTTACCGCAGTCCGCCATATCCAGGTCGTATCCAGATCTGATGAAGGACCTGCGCCTGGACACGTCAACAACGCAGTCCTGAAGTGTCAACTAGTCCCTCCCCTGTGAAGGCCTCTCTCCCTTTACCTCTGTTCAGATAAAACGTTGTCAAAATAGTTCCGGTTCAAATGGCTACTCGGAAGTGATAAATAATTCTGCGAATGAGCAGGCTGGAGCGCATTAAGGGTTTTCTGTTAGAACAGTGTCGTGTAAGCGGCCCCTAAGTTAATAACTAATGATCTTTGCAACGGAAGTGAATCGATCAAAACTAACTTTAGCTGGACAATAACTTTATTCTAAAGCTGCTGTAAAGCCAAAACAATCTCTGTTACTTTAATTTCCTATTATCACTGTAAAGGTGCTTTGAAACAGTCCATATTGTTAAAAGCGCTATATAAATGAAGGTGACTTGACTTGACTTGAATAATGTGTGTAACACGTCAATGACATTGTCATTGAACTTGACAGCCTCAGACGGTGACATCATTGGAATGTGTGCTCGTCAGAGGCTATAATTAAATGTGCCACAGGTGCATCCTCAGGTTTCTTTGTCTTCAGAACCAGTGTGTGTGTGTGTGTGTGTGTGTGTGTGTGTGTGTGTGTGTCGAGCTCTCTTTCTGTCTCTCTGCTAGGAGTTAGTTTTCACTAGGCAGTGGGCAGAATATTCTCTCTTTCTTCTCTCACTCTTCAAGTAATGCTGTGAGCTAATCAAGGAAGTGCTTGTGATCACACACTACACAACCGTGAGGGGTCCAGACATACCCTTGGTGCGCCGGCGTGGGTATTCTCGTTCCCAAAGTGCTTCAGCGCAGCATTGATTGTAGCTTTTGAAAGGGAACGTCTCGGATTACTTGACCCTGTTCCCTGAGAAAGCGGGAATGAGGTGCTGCGCTTCACTGCCGCACTGAGGATGTCCCTCGACCGTTTTCAGACAAAGTGATACCTGAGGATGCACCTGTGGCACATCTAATTATAGCCTCTAACAAGCACGCATTCCAATGACGTCACCATCTGAGGCTGTCAAGTTCAATGTCAATTTCATTGACGTGTTCCACACATTATTCACAGCTGGTTATACAAAGAAGTATTCCCAAAGCGCTTCAGCTCAGGATCTTGTTCCCGCTTTCTCAGGGAACAGGGTTACAGTCAAGTAACCAGAGACATTTTTACAAATGATTTAGACAGCTCGATCTGTTTCATGAATGTGGTATTAGTAGGGCGGTTAAGTGACTTTTGACTTCAAGTCATGATGCAAAGGTCCCCTTTGGTATGGAAGTACCTTAGGGCCATAGAAATAAATTTATCCTAAGACACAAGTGAGATCACATTTTGTATCTTATATACGCACATTTTTTTAAAATGGCCGCCGACCATACTTGAGAGGCCCATATCTTTGCTTCTGTTATAGCTATAATGACAAATTTGGTATCAACGGGTACATTTTTGTGGTCAAGGAGTCCATTAAAATAGGTTCCAAGACTAAAAAACAATAATGTTGTCCTTAACATGACAATTGGAGGTGAAGTATGCAATTTTTTATTAAAAAACGCATGCCAAACACACAGTCCATTCACAACTTAATAATTTCTTCGTTTAGGTCTACTTCGCATGCGCCCTTTACAGCACTGGCTGAAGACGCGGGTCCTGCGTCGAGCATGGGCATCCGGTCGTTTACGTCTCAAGGTAACTCTGAACTGTGTCACAGCTCTGGAGCCCTGGAAGGCGGTCGACTGGTATCAGACAGGTGTAAACCTGGGAGTAATCTCTAAACTGATAGTGGTTTCGACAGACGCCTCCAATTCGGGCTGGGGCACCCTCTATGAGGGCAGACCGACTTTTGGCCTGTGGTCAAGCCAAGAAAAGAGCTTGCACATAAACTCTCTAGAGATGAAGGCGGTCGAGAACGCCTTGCGGTTCTTCCTTCCCCTTCTAAAGGGCTACCATGTCCTTGTCCACATGGACAACATGTCGGTGGTTTCCTACATAAATCGCCAGGGCAGTCTGAGATCACAGAACCTTCATGCACTGGCAAAACGCATCCTTGTATGGGTTCAGCGCCCATCACTGGCCAAGCCCATCACTGGCGACTGGGCCGCCCATCACTGGCCCAGCCGCCCTCTCTATGCTTTCCCTCCGATCATGCTGTTACCACAGGTAATCAAGCCTATAAGGGAGAACGGTTCCTGTGTACTTCTAGTAGCTCCGTTCTGGCCGAACCAAGTTTGGTTTCTGGAGCTGATGCAGCTTTAGAGCTTGCCTCCGTGGTCTGTCCCGTTGAGGAGAGATCTCCTCTCACAGGCCGGGGGTACGATTTGGCACCCACGACCGGAGCTTTGGGTTCTGCATGTGTGGGCCATCAACGAATACCCGTCAGTCTCCCCGACGGAGTGTTAAACACGATTACGCAAGCTAGAGCGCCCTTTACTAGACGGCTTTATGCTTCCAAGTGGTCAGTGTTCTCAGGTCGGTGCTCAGCTCGCAACCTGGATCCACACGATTGTGGGGTGTCGGAGGTTCTCTCGTTCCTACAGGAGCTCTTGGATAAGGATAGATCCCCATCCATGCTTAAGGTATATGTGGCGGCTATTGCTGCGTTTTTCAAACATTCGCATGGCCAGTCACTGGGTAGGAACGACAATGTAGTCCGCTTCCTCAGAGGAGCTAGAAGGATGAACCCTCCTCGCCCCCCCTCGGACCTTTCCTTGGTCCTGGAGGCCATGAATGGTGCCCCTTTCGAACCTCTACAGTCTGTGGACCTTAAGTATCTCTCATTGAAAACCGCCTTTCTGGTGGCTATCGCCTCAGTCAAGCTGGTGGGTGACTTACACGCACTTTCTGTTAGTGCGTCATGCCTTGAGTTTGGGCCTAATGACTCCAAGGTCATCCTCAAACCAAGACATGATTATGTCCCCAAAGTACTTGCCACTCCTTTTAGAGCACAAGTCTCTGTGGATCTGACAGCGAGTCTGACTTTCTCTCGTCACAGGCGATTTTTGAGATTCGCCTTCGAGGGCCAGGCATATCAATACACAGTCCTACAGTTCGGCCTGTCCCTGGCATCCTGTATATTATGATGTGCATGCGAGCTTTGAACTATTTGGACGATTGACTGATTCTAGCTCGATCTCATTCAGAGCTCATAGAACACAGGACCATATTACTCGAACACCTCGAGAATCTTGGTCTCACAGTCAATTGGGCGAAGAGCTCGCTGTCCCCCAGCCAGGAAATATCCTTTCTGGGCACAGAGCTGAACTCGCTGTCAATGACAGCGCGACTATCGCCAGAGCGCATACTGAACATTGGGGCACTATAGTCCCGCTCAAGAGATTTCAGAAAATGCTGAGCCTCGTGGCCTCATCATCATCAGTACTCCAGCTGACGGTGCCCACTGCAGTGGTGGCTGAAAGCACGAGTGCCGTCTCGAGCTTGGGCCTCCGATCTGTTTCGCCTAAGGGTCAATCAGAAATGGGTCGCAGCTCTGAAACCTTGGAAGGCGACCGACTGGTACTGGTACCACCGCCTCTTCAATCTGACATTCTCTCTTCGGATCTGACAGCGAGTCTGACGTGAATCTCCTTTGCCTGGTTAGGGCCTTTAGAATTTACGTGGAGCGTTCGGCTGCTTTCAGACGGTCAGGACAGCTATTTGTTTCGTTTGGTGGCCGATCTAAAGGTCTAGCTGCCTCGAAACATAGCCTTTCCAGGTGGATAGTGGACGCTATCTCACTGGCTTATACATCTAAGAGCCTTCGTTGCCCTCTGGGCGTCAGAGCTCATTCCACTAAAGGCATGACTCTTCGTGGGCCTGGTCCAGTGGGATTTCCCTTCACGATATCTGTATGGCGGCAGGCTGGGCCTCTCTGTCTACATTTATAGGGTTCTATAACCTGGAAGTTCTCTCTAGAAGAGGGAATGAGTGTTGTGTAACCCTGCCGTGCTTGTGCTACCATCTGGTTTCTCTTCAGTCAATGAAGACCAAGGAGCATCTTATCGAGCTCTGGCTTATATAGGCATAAGCCACGACCATTCGCCCACACGCCCACTCATTGGTGCTTACCTCACGAGCAGTGCCTCGATAGGTTGCAGCAGTTGCCGCATAGCATCCAATAGGCGCGCGAGCTGCCTCGCCTAGGTCTGCTAGCTGCAGCAAGTGTGTTCTAAATTAATACAAATTATAAGGATAATTTTTGGCTTCAGTATTCTCGAGAAAAGAGGTTTTCCCTCTAAGGTTTTTTTTCCATAGTCAACTAGCTAGCTATTTATTAGTTATCTAACATTAAAAACATTTTTCTATTTAAATGAGAAAGTCATACGAACCTCAAAGTGTTAACCTGTCACCTCTGACCTTCAACAGCTCTGCCGTGCAAAGGCAAAAGACCGTAACTTCGTGTTTGGTCGAAAATTAGTTTTTTATATTTTTGGCACATTCAAGACCCCCTTTATCATGTGGATAAGTATCTTGAGTCAACTCCGTCGTTTTTTCGAGAAAATAATGGGTTGTCTTAACAGTAACTTCCAAAAGCCCGTGAGAAACCAAGGCAGAACACCGTAACACCAGTTACCGCTCTTTGGCTTTGTTTTGGAACGCTCATTTTGAGTTACGGTACTCTGCCTTTGTTTAGCCGCGCGTCAATATGAAGTTACGGTGCTGGCGTTCTATCAAATATGCTACCTTTCAGATTGTACGGTGTTCTGCCTTTGTTTTGCTCTCCATTAAAATTTAAATTACGATGTAGCCTGTGTACTTTGTACAGCTGCCATCAGTCCCTGTAACTTCTGATGTCCTCAGAGCTTTGTCCAGCACAAATGCGGTCAGAACATTTAGTATGGTCTGAACCCGCTCCATATGAAAAACGTGCGATAGGCTATCCATCGCGAATGATATATGCAGAGTTGACAGAAAAAAATGTTACACACGCCGTAGCAGGTGAATACAACAAAGAACTAAATCCCTGCCTCACCCAGATCGGGTTGAAACAATCATGCATCTAGCTGGCAGAGTGCCAAAACTTCGCCGGCGCCTTCAGCTCCGCCCTGAACACGGTCGAGCCGACGCGCGACTAATATATCACAGAGTGATAATAATGAAGCAACAACGGTATATTGGTGCATACAACATAATGCAGCAAGAATTGTTGGTGCATACAACATCAGACAAGCTGTTACAAGCGGGTTGTACCTACAATCACACTGTCCGGAATAAATCCGCGGGACGAGCGAAGTGCACTGCACAATAATAGGGCAGACAGCTGAAACCACCGCTACTGAAAAGACGCAGAACACAGAAGGTTGTGCTATAAATGCATTAGTCGTCTAGGTAGTCCAGAGCGCGCTCCCCACCGAGTCTCAAGATGGAAAGCACTGCGTTCGTACTTCGTACTTTTCGTGAACGTACGAGGAGCATGACACCTTCGAACACGAATATACTATAAGCGAGTCCCCAGGTCGAATGTGCGCGAGGACCTGTTTTATCGTGATCATTTTGAACGCGCGTTTATCAAGTCTTATGCCACTCGGTACCAATTGAAGATCTTACCGTTATGGAGGTATTTTGCCATGTCTCATGTATTAATAATGCCACCAGAATGCAACCAAAGCACAGGGTAGCAATAAGTAGATGTCTATAAGTGTAAATCATACAAAATAAATGCCATGATCACTAGATTTTATACAGGTGTTACTATAATGATTTTGTTAATGGTGATCATCAACCAAATATTGATAATGTGGAAGTTACTGCCTTTTGCCTTGGCATAACTTCTCACTTTTTGCTGACAATGCAAAGGCAGAGTGTACAGTAACTTTAAAATAGTGGTCAAAAGTCAAGTTTGAGCTCAAGATTTTTTATGTAGATAATTTGTATTACTAAAACATCTAATTGCCAGATTTACAGTGTCCTACCTATAATTAATTTGGAGGGACAACTGAAAATCTTTAAAGTCATTTTTCTCAGTTCCAAACACTAGCGAGTTAAGGTCTTTCTCATAATTTTTTTATTTTGTAATATTTTGTAACTATTGATGTAATATTAACCCTTACTAGACAGAACTTACTAAATGTTATTTTAAGGCTATCGTTGTTATCATAGAAATGTTTGGATAGAGTGATAAAAGGCAAAATGGTCAATAAATTAGAAGTTAAGGTATTTTGCCTTTGTATGACCCATTATTGTTTTGCAGATAATGCAAAGGCAGAATACAGTAACTTCCGAATAGGGGTCAAAGGTCAAGTTTGAGCTAAATATTTTTTAATGTAGATAAATATATTCATTATGACAACTACTTGGCAAATTTTCATTGTCCTACCTATCATACAATTGGCTGGACAACAAAAAAACTTTAAAGTCATTTTTCTCAGTTTCACACTCTGGTGAGTTAAGGTCTTTTGCCTTTGTAGGGCAGAGCTGTCACAGCTCCTGGTACAGATGGGATGTGTTGTTGCAGGAACTGATATGCTATAGGCTACTCCTGACTGGTCGAAATCTCATGCTACTTAGGACAAATGTAATGTACAGAAGTAGCTGCACTGCTTAAATACAAAATTAAAGTTTTTGAACGAAAAGATAAGTAAAGTCACTCTGATGACCATTTTTATGTGAAATGTGCATATTTACCCCCAATTGTCATGGTATGGGAAAAATTATTATTTTTTTAAACTTGAAACCAATTTTATTGGATTCCTTGACCCCAAAAATGTATACTTTGACACCAAATTTGTCATTATAGCGATATCAGAAGCAAAGATTTGGGCTCTAGAGTATTTTCGGCGCATTGGCGGCCATTTTTGAAAAAACATGTTTATTTCTGATACAAAGTGTGATCTCACTTGTGTCTTAGGATAAATGTATTTGTATGACCCTAAGGTACTTCCATACCAAAGGAGACCTTTGCATCATGACTTGAAGTCAAAGGCCTATTTTTTGGGCTTAACCTCCCTACTATATGGTAAAAATAAGTTTTGGACCCTGGTTTACACAAAATATGTAGGCTACTCAACAAGAATAACAGTCTTTCTACTATAGTAGTGACCTCAACATAATAACATATTTTTTAAGCCTGTGTATGAAATGTCACATGATATAATCTATAGTGTAAACCCGTCACAGGAGGTGTTACACCTTTATTGTACTCTTTGTGATGTTGACACGCTTTGAATAAGGTGAGGGGTGGATGCCCATGTCTAATGTTTCTGTTCTTGATTTTCTTTTTCTCATATGCTCTCTTCTGTGTCTCATTCCATCACATCTATCTTCCTCATGTTTTACCTTTTTCTTTAGCTGGTTTTACACTTTTTTTGGAACCTCCTCTAAAGTTGGTTGAGCACCTGCTTTACGATTTTTGGTTTCTTTAGCTGGTTTCCTCAGAAAGTGCTGCAGGGGAAGTTGCAGCACCTCCAGCTCCTGTTGCAGGACTGCGAACGGAACCGTCACCTCCTCCGCCCCCCCTTCCCCCACCAGCCGCAGAGCGTTCAGGTGGCATTGGTGACTCAAGACCTCCTTCATTCCAGTAAGGCACAAACTGATGCACGTAAAAACCTCTCAGATACCATAAGCAATACTAAGTAAATTACTAAATTACTTATGCTGGAAGTTGCTGGTCACTGGTTTGATTGGCGGTTATTTTATTTATTTATTTATTTATTTTTACTTTCACAACATTTTCTCTTTCAAAGCAGAGAAAAATGACAGGCCACATTTAGGACACCTGTTTAGGACATGATGTAACTTTTGAAAAATCTTAACAAAGGGTGTTCAGTTTCAGCTTTTTTGAATATGTAGAAAATATACCAGGGTTAAGGTGTCACAAAAAGGGATTGTTAGGTCATTGCTATATATATTAAGTACACCATATGAGTAAGGAGTATTTTAGAGGAGTTTTGATGTTTTGAATGTGGGTTATTATTTGGTGCCTTCAGATCAATTGAAGCAGTACTTGTCTAATCAATCTCCCTCATCCTTTGTTTTTCTATTTCATTCTCTCAGCCCTAATGTGGCCAGCAGTGTGGAGACTCTGGATGAAGCAACTGAAACAGAGTCGGTCATGTCGTTTAGGAGAGAAAGACCCAGATGCAGAGAGAGTTTAGAGCAGCACGGTCAGAACAATCTTTATGTGTTTGAATATTTGCATATTATATATTCAAAGGGTCTGCGAGGACAGTCTTTGGACAGGGTCATAGTGAATGAATTTTCACGCATCGAATTTTAATGTGAATCATGTCAAGTCAAATCGTTCTGAATTTGCAAAAATCGTTCTTGAATCTAATTGAAAACCAGTAAATCGTGAATTGAATCCATTCGCTTTCTACCCAAAGATTCAGCCATTGTTTCTCTTAGGGCCTCTCCCAAATGGCACACTTCATATGCACTTTTCGGTCTTGTGGACTTACAATGGCTGCCGTGTGGGCGTGTCCGTTAAGTCCGTGAGACCGTAGGGTGTCCCATTTGTCATTTTAGGTCTCAGAAGGCTGCTCACGAGCGGTCGATTTTGCGCCCTCGATGCACACTTTTGCCGAGCCCGCACTGATGCCAGCTCCGCAGCAGACTTCTTCCTGACAGTCAAAGCGGTGTTACGTCAGGAAAGTGCGGACTCAGAGGAAGATGTAGGATGAAAGTAGGATGAAAATCACCCTAAAATCTCTCCCCCCATAACAAACGACTTTCAAGTACAACCCCCCCAATATTTATACCATGGTTAATGAAATATAGTCAGGATATTAATTAATTATATAAATTGCGTGTTCAGAGCTTTTATACGCGCTAAGTGAACGGACCAATTATTAGCGCAATATGACTGAAGTCCGGTTTATTGTGTATTCGTTGCGTGTGAATCACCGTACTGTGCGCGCATTAACCAGCACGCTCCAAGATTTGAGCGCGCTGTTCCTATCACCGATGATAAAATGTTCGACCCATTTGAATTCTATTGAGAATTTACAAATTTAGAAAAAACTAAAAAAAAAAAAAGTCAAACGTGATCTAAAACAGCCACATAAACTTAAAAAGGCTGATGAAAAGAGAAGAAAACATAATCTTGCACCAACATGAATTAGAAACCTTTTAAAACCATATGACCACCCATACTAGAATTTCTCATATTTTAATGTGTTTATTGTGGTAAATTTTTAATAGATCAAATGTTAAGGAAATAATAAATAACATCAAGTTAAGGAATTTTTTTCAGTAGGCTATAGATTTATATTATAACTGTGGCATGTTGTATCTATAGTTTCTAAATGTGTGGTTAAGGTTGCTATTTTTCATAACAAATGCTATAGATAAAAAAACAACAACAAAAAACAGTCAACATTGGCATGAGGAGTCATCAATGGTCTTACCTGTAATTATAGACTTTTCAAACGATTTCAAGAACTGTAGTACATTTTCATAAGGGCAAGTACAAGTTTTATAAATTTGCAAAAAACGTTCTTGAATCGAATTGAATCGATTCGCTTTCTACCGAAATATTAGAATCAAGAGCTTTAAACTCAGGACCTTCATGAGTTATGCGGTGTAAAATGTGTTCTATTCTAATGATCATTAGGAAAAGCCTTCAGATATTAAGAGATGACAGCCAAAAATCATTAAGAGCCTGGTGAACTGTTAAGTAGTGTTGCTTTCATCAACGAAAATTATGACTAAATATCGTCGTCAACGAACCTTTATCTCGTGACGAAAACGAGACGCAACATAAATGCTGGTCATGTGACGATGACTATAATTAAATGTATAATGCAATATTGTTGACGAATAAAAACGAGACTAAATGTGGTTTACAAAATAAAAACTATGCTAAAATGTCTCTTCATTTTCGTTGACCAAAACGAGACGAGACGAAATGTATTTAACGTTATTTCGTCTCGTTTACTTGCATTATTATTATGCAGCATTTCTGTTTCATGTGTCACTTCAGGGGCTGCATCAGATCGCACTGCGCAGATGCAGGCGACTTCACATCCTCAAGCCCCACTCGTGGCATTATTTAGAAGATGCAGCTGCGTGAGTAACACAAGAGGCAGGTTTAGAAGGAAAAAACAGGTAGTCTTTACTTAGTTTTCTTTCCTGAGCATAAACAAAGGATCCAGGATAAATGCTGTGTTGAGCAAGGTACAAATCCACACTGGATGATGCAGGCAAAAGAGTCCAATAATATAAAACAAAGATTACCAGTAAAGCTGGTCAAAAGGTCTGAGCAGAAGTCTTAACATTCTTGGATCCAGGTCTATAAGAGATCACAAAATTAAAACGGGGTAAAAAAGAGAGCCCACCTGGCCTGCCAGGGGTTAAGGTGCTTTGCCTGCTGTAGGTAGGACAGGTTTTTGTGATCTGTCCACACAATAAAAGGAGCCCCCTCCCCTCCAGCCAGTGGCGCCACTCTTCCAGTGCAAGTTTCACAGCAAGGAGCTCTTGGTTACCCACATCATAGTTTCTCTCAGCTGACGACAGACGTCTGGAAAAGAAAGAACACGGATGGACTCTGTTATCTGTGATAGACCTTTGGGAGAGCACTGCCCCAACTCCCTCTTCTGATGCATCCACCTCCACGATAAATGGCAGTTCAGGGTCTCGGTGTACCAGGATTGGGGCAGAAGAAAATAGTCCCTTTAACCTGTTGAACGCCTGCTGAGCATCAGTAGTCCAGTGGATACGAGCGGGTGATCCCTTAGTAAGTGTGGAGACGGGTGCTGCAATAGTGCTGAAATTGCGAATAAACTTCCTATAGAAATTGGCAAAACCAATAAATCTTTGTACCTGCTTTAGTGATTTGGGCTGGGGCCAGTTGGTGATGGTGGACACCTTCGTTGGTTCCATCTGGATGCCTTCTTGTGAGACAACATAGCCTAGGAATGAGACTTGGGGCACATGGAACTCACATTTTTCAAGTTTTACGAAAAGGTGATTCAAGAAGCTTCCTCAGGACCTGTTGGACATGGTGAATGTGTTCCTGTTCCTGAGTCTGAGAAAATAAGTATGTCGTCTAGATAGACAAACACAAAATGGTTCAACATCTCCCTCAAGACGTCATTGATGAAGGCTTGAAAGACTGCTGGAGCATTAGCTAACCCAAAAGGCATGACTTGATATTCCCAGTGGCCAGTTGGGGTACTGAAGGCTGTCTTTCATTCGTCTCCCTCCTTTATGCGTACCAAGTTCTTGGGGACAAAAAAGAAACCAGCACTAGCTGGTGAAGATGATGGGCAAATAAAACCAGTATTCAAAGCATCCTGGATATATTCTTTCATGGCCTTAGTCTCTGGGGCAGAGAGGGAATACAGGTGACCTCTAGGAGGGAGTGCACCCGGAAGAAGGTCAATAGCACAATCATATGGTCTATGAGGGGTTAGCTTAGTAGCGCGTTGTTTGCTAAACACTTCTCTCAAGTCATAGTAATCAGGGGGCATGAGTTTTAGATCTTGTGATTTATTCAAGGAAATGGCACTCACCTCCTCAATAGCTGCCAGAATTTCTTTACTCTGGACCACAGTGGAAGCAGGAGAGGTACAAGAATCCAAGCACGCAGAGCCCCAACGGAGGAGAGTTCCAGAGGTCCAGGATAATTGAGGGTAGTGAAGCCGCAGCCAGGGGTAACCTAGAATAAGGGGTTCTCTGGAAGACTTGATCAGATGAAAAAAAAATTGTTTCACGATGGTTACTATCAATGGTCAGTGAATTGAAAAGATTATAATGTCCGCAACACTGCTACTTACTCCCATATTTTAATAAAAAAGGCAACGTATCGACCATACTGGGTCTTCTTCTATCAATGGTCAAGCATAAAGGAACTGTTTTGAACTTGATTATTCCAGACCCTATTGGTCTGCCATCTAGGGCCTCAACTTTCCAGAATGAAGAGCAAGTCTCAAAGGGGATACACATTTTCTTAGCAAAATTAATGTCCAAAAAGTTATCCGCTGCACCTGAATCCACAAATGGTTTCAAAGTCACTGTCTTTTCCCTGGTGTCCCCCCAAGTAAGCGTAGCTGGGAGCAGTAAACGGGAGTGAGGAGCGTCAAACTGAGCAGTTCCACTCGCTAAGGTCCCCACTCCCCTTAGCGAGCTTTGGCTTTTAAAGCTAACTCGAGGCACGAAGAGCGCAAGTGGTTAGAGCCACCACAATAGAAACACAGACCTTCTCTCATGCGTCTCTCTCTCTCCTTAGGTGAAATGCGTGCTCTACCAAGCTGCATAGGCTCTTCCTCCATCTGTGGAGTAGAATAGGAAACTTCTGGGAAGTTGGGGGATGATAGCATGGGCGTGTCTCGGGTAGTGCAGTGTTCTCTTTTTCTTTCACGAATACGGTTATCAATTCGGACAGCCAAAGTTATGAGTTCCTCCAGACTTGTACCCCAATCTCTGCTGGCTAACTCATCCTTAACCGCTTCAGAAAGGCCACGATAGAATGTTGAAATGAGCGCCTCTGAATCCCACTTACTCTCAGAAGCCAAAGTACGAAAATCAATCGCAAAGTCGGCCACAGATTGTTGCCCCTGACGTAGGTCTAGTAGTCTCCTTGCTGCCTCACGGCCACTGACTGGATGGTCAAACACTTGTTGAATAGTCTCTGTGAACACTTTCACAGAGTGGTTGGAGTTCAAAGATGAGTGACACTTGAGTCAGGAAGCCCTTGCAGGCACCAGGCCTCCCACCGTAGCACTGTGGGGTTAGAATCTTTGGTTCTTGGGACATTGGTGCAGTTAATGGTGGGGCTTCAGTCGCTGGTAGTACCATGGGTTCTCGAGGCAAGCATGCTTGTAGTTGTTGCAGCGAGTCCCCAATCTGGTTCACAACGTCTGTTAGTCTCTGGAGCTGTGTCTCATGTGATCCAAGCAAAACACCCTGTTTGCTAATGGCTCTGTGAATCTGTTCAGTTTCTGCCAGGTCCATATCTTGTATGGCTCAGTCTTGCTGTCAGGTCTGGGAATCGAACCCAGAGTGTGTTGCTGGTAACTCAAGGTGCTAACCACTGTTCTACTGGGTAGTGTGGACCCAATTGACCGTTCGCAAAGACCCGCCCCCCTTAGTTACTGTCGCTATGTCCGACAAGCTACGCTGCTCTCACACACACACACCATGTTCTCACGCAGTGAAAAATACA